GCACCTCGTTGTGGCTGATCTACCTGCTGGAAAAACAGTCACGGACATTAGTCACAACATGATACCATCCCAATAGAAACATTAAAGTAGCATCTGCATTGTCTCTTTTCTTGAATGAAGCTCTGTTCTAAAACCTACTGATCTGCCTATTTAGACAGCCTTATAAGGCATCATAGGCATGATTTTGGCTTCGTTGTAAGGTGGCATCCGATGCATTTACTGTGGATAAGGCAATCACAGAATGCACAGAAGCAAAGTGTTACGTTTCATCCACAGCGGCACTGGAATATACTAAGTTTCTAAGTCACTAAGTTTCAAAACAGAGTTTTAGCATTGTTAAGAGGGTCAGAAATTGAGAAGCCACCTCTTGAGACTCCATATCGCTGGTGGTTGAGGGTGAGCGAGAGTGGGACGTGACCTGGGATCTTCCATCTTCCTCCCGGGATGGTGTGTTGGACAGGCTGAAGTTATCGATGGAGTCGATCTATTGAGAAGTTTGGAGAAAGGAAATGTTTAGAGAGCAGATCCAAACGTACCATGAACCATGAGCAGCAGATGGAAGACCCAAGACATGCCTGCTAAATGTAACACAACAGGCTGTTTGAAACACACATCATGCACATTAGACACAAGACGGAGGTTTAAAAAACATTTCCAAGACCCAAACACCATGTCAATAATGCCTGACAGCAAAGCAAAGCACTGCTGAACACAAACGCCACATGTCTGTTTCACAACAAGCTTCACAAGTTTTAGAAACAGCAAAAGTGAGTTAGAAGTACAGTCATCGGTTGTGGAATGGAATAAAACCTCCATTGGTAATGCAAGATGAATAAAACAAAATACTGCATATGTATTAGCCACAGAAAGTGTCAGTTTGTAATCCAAATGCGCATGATGAAGACAAACTGAGGTAAAATGGACTCTGAATGTGACAAACAAGCATGTGCACTTGAAAGACCCTCTGGGAAATGTGGCTATGTAGCTTATGCCACGCAGACATGCATCAAAGTCACGCAATCCAATCAGTGTAGAGATGAACCACTGCACCAAACACTGCATCAAAAAGAGCTTACACGTCTGCCTTTGCCGGCTGGCCCACAGGCAGTGGAG